TATTTATTTGTTGTGTTAATGTTAAGTGTAGTTGTGGTGCTGTTAGTTGTAAAAAAAGGAAAAGTGACTTAACTGGGGCTAAATCCAAAAAAAGTTCTCCAAGATATATGATAATAGAAAGGAAATGGAAACTTTTATATCTAAAAACAGGTCCTATGCTAGAGCTTACTACATAAGGCATTGTAAGAGGGTCAAAAGCAAAGCCAGAGTTGCCTATAAGATAAGTAAAAAATATAAGCTTGGGTATTCAAAAAAATTTCATGCATTCAACCCAGGTTACATTTTGCAAAAATGTAAAAATTGGTATAGTAAAAACAAGGACTGCAAAATTTTAAAATCAACTTGCTATTCTAAGACAAATTATAGGAGTAATCCAGACCAAAAAAAAGAAGCCTCTAGAAATCATTATCAAAAAAATCCACAACCAAAAAAAGAAGCCTCTAGAGATCAGTATCATAAGAATCCACAACCAAAGAAAGAAGCCTCTAGAGATCAGTATCATAAGAATCCACAACCAAAGAAAGAAGCCTCTAGAGATCAGTATCATAAGAATCCACAACCAAAGAAAGAAGCCTCTAGAGATCAGTATCATAAGAATCCACAACCAAAGAAAGAAGCGTCTAGAGATCAGTATCATAAGAATCCACAACCAAAGAAAGAAGCATCTAGGAATCATTATCAAAACAATCTGAACCCCCAAAAAAGTAAATCAAAGGAACGCTATCATAAAAATTTGGGCCTTCAAAAACAAAACTCCTTAAAACGGTATTAAATGAATAGAGACGCAATATTATGTGCTACAAAAGATAAATTTCTGAGATATAAATTTTCTGATAATGAAATGGATAAGTTAAAGGTGGCACTGATCAAGGAAAATAAAAGGCGTATAAATAATGATTATTACGAACGTAATTATAGTCACATATTGTATAGATTACGCTCACCAAATAGTGAAGCAAAGGAATATTATTTTATAAAAATTAAAGAAACATTATATTACAGCCCCGAAATAGTTGTTGATTTATTGCCATCAAGTATGAAAGGTATAGATTTTGAGAACACATCATATGACAGTAAATGTAATGCTGCATCAAGTATATTGTTAGAATCAGTTTTGAAAAATAGATCCCACAAAGTAGGCGTATTGATACGTGCAGCAAATAGCATTAGGAAATTGAAGTTGAATAGCTTTAGTGATTTTGGTGAGCAATGTCACACAAAGAATAGTGAGCCTTATTTTTATGAATCAGCATATTTATATCCTAATGATGATTTTGATAGCCAATTAGATAGTCCAATTGCAATCCCTGTTGATACAAATGGCATCTGTTACGTAGCAGGGGTTGTTGATGTATCATGTATTGATAGAGTAGAAGAATGTAATGATGATAGTGATTTTGCAGATGACAATTTTGATGATAATAGTAGAATGTATACTAATAAGAGAAAGCCTACCCTCAAATGGCACTGTACAGACAGGTGCAAGCCTTTATTAGAAAGTGATGTTAGTTCTATTATTGAAGTTAGACGATATTTTGATGAACCCATTCAAGAATTGAGGCAGCATTTAGATGCATGTGATAATTGTCCTAATAATTATTATATGACAAGATCCCTGCATGTTGAAGAAATAGATCAAGTACATGAACATGATTTGTCTGATAATCCTAATGTAACGGTAATTGTTAAAAAAGATGAAAATAATGCTAAAAAATATTTAAAATATTCAGAAATTGTTTGTGAAAGGATAGGCCATCCTATTGTGTGTAGTAGTAATGATACTCAATGTAAAAGCATGCTGCGTATTTTACGCAATGCATCTGTTCATTATCCTTTATTGAGACGCCTTTTGAAACACTTTTATGTTGCTAGAAATGCCCATTTAACAATAGATATTATTGACTCTTCCCTTGCTGATGGTGATATCGCACAATTGATAGATTTAAAAATTAATGAAGCCGATGAGACTGATTTTGATAATGTGCATTACGCTATAAATGATGGTGAAGAAGATGACCCATTTAGAATACCAAACTTAGATACTGTACTTTATTTTCAGTATTCAGACGCTATTGATGAATTTAAGAAAGCTTTGTCTGATCAGGCTGTTAATGCTTGTTGCAGCTGTGAGAGGCTTCTAAGAAAAAAGTCTGTCACTGAAGCTAAAAATTTAGATAGTGATGTTTGGAATATCCTATTAGATTACATTAGAGAGACTAATCCTACAGCATTAAATAAAGTTATGTATATTTGTAATCATTGTAAACCTATTATTAGGAAAAATAAAGTTCCAGCACGTTGTGTGCTCAATGGGTTAAAGTGTGAGCCACTACCCAAAGAGTTAGAAAATTTGGATCCTTTAAGTTGCCAGTTAATACAGAGAGCCAAGTGTTTTCAGACAATTGTTAGGCTAGGCACACACACCTTAAAAGTGCCTGCCTATAATTCTTTGAAGGCTCTGAAAGGTGCAATGTTTTATTTACCTCTTCCATTAGAGAAAACAATGGAAACTTTAAATGAGGTTGGTATAGATTCTAATCATTTACCTAATCCAGAACTTTATATTATTATTAATGGACAGCCTACTAAATCAAATATTTGAAGCATGTTGGTACTAATCATTTCCAAGCAGTTAAGTCTATTAATATTTCTTAAGCATTGATTGATGATGGAGTGGGTATGGTGTATGGGAGGTCCATCATCTTTAAAACATTGGTTGTTTAATGTGACTTATATTTCACTGCATGTGCAATGTGAATGATGTGTGAGTCTGAAAACCATTGGTGCATATCCACCCAGTATTGCTCAGTATCAAGGGATCATACTGCATTCAGGATATGAGATTAATCAATGTATAACAGTAAATATTGTTTACTTGTTGCTATAATGGACAGGGAGAGGGTGTGAACGAAGTTTACTGTTCATTACAGTTTAGCATTGATTCAAATTTGTGTGACTATCATTTATGTAGGACAGAGGGTTAGGAAGGGAGGAAGCTGTCATTATCAAATCTGGATCTTGTTTGTGGCTTGTACTACATGTTTATTACAAATAACTGATGCTTATGGATCTTGGCTCTGCTGACAAAATTTGAAGTCATGACATGAAAAATATTTGAGTAACATTAAAAGTTGTTATTTTACATTTAGTATTATTCAAGCAGTAATTCTGTACATATAATAATGATCATCATGCATGTTAATGCTGCCATCAATGCTGTGCGCATTACATGTATGTAAATGCTTGCCAGCTGATGTTGCGCATAATGCTGCCATCAATGCTGTGCGCATTATTAAGTTAATGCTTGCCGGCTGATGTTGCGCATTTGAATGATGCTGCCATCAATGCTGTGCGCATAATAAATGCTTGCCAGCTGATGTTGCGCATCTTGTATTGATGATTGTTGTAACATGTGCATGTTCTCATTAAAAAAATATTGTTTGCACATTGGAAATACTTTATGCACACAATGATATTTTATATGAAGGAGGTCATGAAAGTATCTTAACTGAGCTTAGCATTAGTAAGCAATATTATGTCTAAAATACATGCATGCACATACATGTATGATCCAATCAGAAA